GGATGTCGGAAAAGTGAAACTCCACGGCCCAGCGTTCGCCGCCGCCGCAAACCCCAGCCATCTGGAAACAACCATGCAACATGTCAGCGGTGAAGAAACGTTCGACGGCCAACGCGCACTTCATTACCCTCTCATACACGTGCGAGTGCATAGTGAAGCAAAGACCTCTATGGCGCTCCTGGCAAGAATAGCGACGACAATAATCTCGATCACCTGGGATGGCCCCCTTGTCTTCAACGACCAAGTCTCCTCGCGCCTGCCACCGCAACTCCGCCGACCGACCAACAACTCCTCGCCCGATGCCAAGCTTGGCCTCCAAGACGGCCTCGCTGACAGGCCAGTCGACGTTGCCGCTCGTCCACTGCTGCAGTCGGCGCTCCCGCGTGACCTCATCCTCCTCGGCCTCCTCAGCAGCAGGAGGCGCGCCGCCATCTTCGCCTCCAGCGCGCGGGCGGCGAGAGGGCAATGCCTCGCGTCGTTGAACCCTGGACATGCCCGACCACTCCTGAGTGATCTGCTCGAAGAAAACCCTGCGCTCCTCGGGGGTGGATCCAGGATGCTCCCTCTTCCATTGATTATACTTGATATTCCTCCACGCCATGTCGGGGCGGGCGACCATTGGCTTAGGTCTGGCAAGTCTCCTCGCCCGATGAGTGCTGTCCGCCTCCAGTGGCACGCCACCGTTCTGCATCTCAGACCTCTTCTGGACCACGCTGTTCTTGAAACCTTTGGCCAAGCGATCCCTCATGAGGGACGAAAGCTCCGCGACGCACGCGAGCGTCTCCACCGATGGCTTCTTCTTGGTCTGGCCAAGGGAACTCTTCATCTGAGCGAGCAAGTTCTCAAGCGGCATATTAGTAACATTGCAACGCCTTCCAGCCTGCTGTAGGAACTGCCACGCCGGACCGTCGATATGGTCTATCGTGGGGCACGCAGTTCTGAAGGGCTCGCTGAAAAATTCATCGAGGCAACAACTCTTGGCAGCGTAGAACTCGCGAAGCACTGGCATGGCGGAGTCGACGCTGTCCGCCGCCGCGCACGCCGCCAGCAGCTTCAGCGGCCATCGGACCATCGGTGCCTGCTGGAGGCGAGACACGTACGACATACGATATACGATCTATGCGATGAGGAGGCGGGAACGATGAGCGGGCAGGGGAAAAGAAGAAGAGGAGGAAGAGAAGAGGAGGTGGACGGGAGGGGGGAGAGGAGAATGAGGAAGCGCTGAAGTGAGGAGGAGGAGGAGAGCGACGAGGAGGGGGAGGAGGAGGATGAGGATGAGGTGGCTTAGGATGCGATGGAGGGAAAATAGGACAAAGAAGTCGAAGGGTGATACCGAGGATGAGGAGGAGGCGGTGGAAGAGGGAGTGTGTGAGCGGCCTCCACGCGGGCGTCCACCTGCGAAGACACGCCGATGATGGTGTTCCTATACTGTTCGGAGCTCAATGCGAAATCGGAGGTCATGCCGAATAAGTGCTTCATCATACCCAACTGCCACGCCGTTCGCGAAGGCTTCGGCGGGGTGCCAGGGGTGGCGTCGCACACCAGATGGCGCAGATGCGTCATAGCCGCGCTCTGCATGCTGAGGCCGCCGCCGACGAACTCGACGAGCGGGCACTTCTGCGCATGGTCGAGGTGCTGCATGCGATTGGTCATGTGGTCTAAGGGCTCGGTGGCGAGCGCCGCGCTCGCAACCACGAAAGGCGTCTTGGGGTCCGACATGAATGCGATGGACTGCTTCACCTTTTTCGTGCGGTAGACCTTGAAGCTGACGTCAGGGTCATCCTCGGCGATGGGCTTGTCGTTGTCGAGCATCCCGTCGCTGTGCAACTGCACGATCACCCTCGGGAGGATCTGATGCATGAACACTCCGAGGCCCTGCACCTCCAGCGCGGTCCCGAATGTGTACCAACGATTGCAAGCAGGGGCTTTCTCAGACACTCTGTCGAATACGGCCTGCCGCAGGACGGAGAGCAGCCTCTCGGCGCAGACGTCCAGGCGGTGACCGCCGCAGCAACCAGGTTTGTAGCAGAAGTGCTGGAAACCGACGACCCTCCAGTCGCCGTTGGCGACCTCCAATAAAGCGTTCCCCAACTCCAAAAGATAATCCTGATTCTTTGCCATGGTTTCCGACAACAATCGGCCGCGCGTGTAGATGCTCCTCAACAAAGTCATGTTCAAGATCTGGCTCGATCTCTCCGTCGCGCCCAACGGGGGTCGGGCATGCGGGCAGAAGCCGCCGTGCTCAAGGTCGTGCACGATGATACCCTTCAAGACTTTCAGCATCATCTCGCTCCTACCAGTCTCGCCGGACATGAAGCAGACCGAGTGGAGACGAGGTATCAGCTCCTCTGTACCGAAAGCCTTCTCAACGACTCTGTGAAGCACGTGCACCAAACATATCATGTCCAAAACTGCGATGACGCCGACAGCGCCGCCCTCGCATTCCTGGGCGCGCTTGTTGTGGTCGCGAACAAGAGAGAGGACGTGAAGTTTCAGGCGCTGGTTGGAAGAATCCAGGTCGGAGCCCATGGAATATAAGAGCATCTTCAAGCACTTCGAAAGCCTGACGAGGCCTTCCCAGTTCAAGTCCTTCGTCCCAGCCTCCATGCCCTCCCACAAGGTAGACGCGCCCTTGGAGCCCATGAAGACATACGGCATGACGGGGCTCTCGCTGCGGAGGTCACCCGGGAGGTCACGCGCGGCCTCGAAGCCCAAGCCAGCGAGAACATCTCGCTCTGCCTCGCCCTCGGCCCACGTGACCCGCAACGTCTGGGCCATGATGTGCAGCACGCCCGCCCGGGGCTCGCGGCCTTTCGCGAGGCCGCGGCGCTGGTACTCGCTGTAGCTAATCAGCTCCGAGCGCACGGATGGCGCACCGCTGGCGCACTTGGCGACGTCCCGCCACCAAAACCTGGAAGCATTGTGACGAGTATTGGGTAGTGAATAATGAGTAAGAGTAATGGGTGTAAGGTAATAGGTGATAGGTGAGAGGCAAGAAGAAACAGGTAACAGACCATGGGACCATGGGCAATTGTCATTGGCATTGGGCATTGGACAGTGGGCAAACGACCAAAGGGATAATGACATCACGACATCACGAAACGTGGGTCACTGATCACGGATCATGGATCATGGGTCATGGGTCATGGGCCAGGGATCCAATGGACGAGGGGGAGATGAAGTAGCAAGCGTGGACATGGAAGATTGGGGTGAAGGCCCGCGCAACCTGGCGACTGGCCGAATCAGATCCGCACAGCAGCCGAAGTTCAACGTCATGGGGGTCAAGTCGAAAGCCCGGTGGACGATCGCCCAACTCGCCGAGCAAGTCCCCGTCTCCAATGCCAACCTCCACTGGCGAATGTGATCGCCAAGGCGGGACCTGTGCGACAGCGCCGTCGTCGCGACGGCGTCAAGCTCCCGGTGCGAGGTCCTGGCTAGTCCAGCGAAGTTGCCGCCGATCCTGGAGAAGGCATATTGGAGCGTGCCGCTGAGTGTCCACTGGTTCGCATGCAATCGACGTCGCTTCGACTGGATCTCCTGGGGGCCCCCGCCGACGTCGTCGCACACTCTCCTAGTAGCGCGGGCCACAGGTGCGGTAAGCTGTTGAAGGTGGTCACCAGCGCGAAGCTGGCGGCGATTCCACTGCTGCCTCACGTTCGTGTACCGCGACGCCACCTCAGAGACCACGGCGTTGGCGTCCTGGAAAAAACGAGTGAGAGCTCTACGCGCAGACTTATCTTTGACCCGCTTCAGATGGTCCGCCACCGGGAGGCGCTGCGGGAAGCGAGCCCCTCCGCCTCCAGCCTCGCCGCCGACGGCGGCGACGTCCTCATCGGGCGCGGCCCCTGCTGCTGGGCGTTCGTCCGCATCCTCTTGGCCTGATTGGCCCGACTCGCAATCGGGCAACAAGTCCATGAGCCATGAGGACCAGAGCCAAAATGGCTGCCAATGCCCAATGCACGATGCTGCCGTTCTGTCATATGATTGCTGTTGTCATGGTTTAAGGCTGTACCTCTATGGCCTACGATTAATGTTCAAAACCCTGCGACCCTACCATGTAGCGTGCGGCGTTTGCGCCTACATCGTGCATTTTGCCCTTGCGTGATTGCGTGCCCCATGTGCCATGTGTCATGAGAGTCATGAGTCACGGGCTATTTGTTACATGTTCATGCGATGATGCGCTGTGTGACTTGGCACGTGGCGCAGGATGGCTCCAATGCGAATGTCCCAAGACTGCAGACGGCAGATGGCTCAATGCGGTCCAATGAGAAGAGCAGTAGATCTCCCAGTCCAGACCACAAGGTTCCAAGATACAAAGATGCCAGACACCAAGACTTAAAGATAGCCGAGCACCACGAGACGGCCCAAAGACCCAAGACACAAGACACCGATCGCATGACTTGCGGCTCATGGCTCATGGCTCACCCATGGCCCATGACCCATGAATAAAATATGGCCCAAGACCAAAGACCCGAGACACATGACCCAAAGACTCTTAGCAGACCCAAGACCCAAGACGCCAAGACCCAATAATACCAAGACACCAGAATACCCAAATACCCCAAGACACCAGGATACCAGAATACCCAAGACACCAGGCAGGAACAACGCGGTGGCGGATCGTGGAGCTCCTCACTGCATTGTGTCTCGCGTCCCCAGCCACTGCTGGCTCAACGGCTGTCCTTCGGATCGAAATGCCGCGGGCGCCGCGGCGTCGCAGACATCTATCAAACTGCAGGCCCCCTGGCCATGCCTGACATTATGACACTACGCATTCTGAATGTACTTGGTGAGGTCTCGTGAAGCAAGGCGCATGCGCGCATGCGCATGCGCGCATGCGCGCATGCAGGATAAAGCATACAGCATACGCGCATGCACGCATGCAGCATGCAGAATGGAACCTGCGGAAAACATGAAACAAACAATCTAGTGAAGAGCCGTGCTCGATAATCAAAGAAGAAACCACAGCAATCGCAGATCAATGGTCATAGAGTCATAGATCACACAGCGCCGAAAACGACGTAAAGGAAGCAATGATACTGAGGTGACATGCCGCGATTGTCATCAGCCTTGTTCTGACACTGATACGAGTAAGTCTTAGCATGCTGTATCAAAGTGCGCTCCATGACGCCTCCATCTCCAGGAGATGTGACGCCGATGAGTCTCATTGCAGACCAGGATTCACAATGCCCGTCCATGTAGCCCCGCGACGTCTCACCGCCCAACCAGCGATGAATCGGTGAACGAGTGGCCCCAACGTAAAAGTCGTGCCCAGCGCTGCCAACTCTGTCAATCGCATCCATGGCGATGGAGAGCTGATCGTCGGCAGTGGCGAAAATCGCGTCACCCATGATGCAGCCCCAATGTATGGGCACGTTCTGTCGCATTGCCTTGTCGTACTCGGCGCCCCGGGCGCTCTCCAGAGCAGCGAGACGCCCTATCTCTGCAACGCGACGCGCCTCAGCGCGGGACTCTGCCTCTACGCGATCGAGCTCCAAGTCGCGCTCGATCTGGGTGCACTGCGAGTCCAGCGAATCAGCGGGCGACTCTAGAACCAATGAGTACTGGGCCAAGAGCGCCACCAAGGAATCCTGACTTGCATCTGGGGCCCCCGATGGAGGGGCGTCGCCAGCGTCGCCGCGGCTCACCGCGTCAGCTGGCTGGCGATCAGCCCGAGCAGTTTCGCCGGCGGACGGGCGGTGAGCAGGCGGAGTTTCGTGGACGTCGACGTCATCAGCGGGCACATCCAGCAACGGGCATCCTGCGGCCTTCCCATTCTCCTCGCCAGCAGCCTCGATCACGGCCTCGTCCGCCACCTCCGCCGCCGAACGGCCAGATCGAAGTAGATCAACGCGGGTGGCCATTCCTGCGCCCAGGCCCCCGACCTCAGAAAAACAGCAGCAGCATCCCGCCGCCGAGCCCCCGTCGTCGTCAACCGTGCGGCCGAGCATCCCAGCAGCTAGCCAGCGGCGGCGGCGCCCCTGGCCGGGCGAAACTGCCGAACTCGCCCTCGCCGCGGCAGCGGCGTCGTCCGCCAGGATGGCAGGGCTCCGAACTCGCATTGTGACCTTTGCGTTGCCACCAGGATGGCAAGGCTCCGAACTCGCAGGACGGCAAGGCCCCGAACTCGCAGGATGGCAAGGCCTCGGCCGCCTGTGAGCCTCGGGCGGCGTCCACTCGAACAGCTTTGACAACAACTCATCGCGCCGCCGCCTGTCACGCAAGGACGGCGTGCGGCTCCGTGCAGCCATCCGCGCGCTCACGCCATCAGCATGCAGCATGCAGCTGTGGACAGCGCGCGGGGCCGCCAAGCCACCAATGTTTGAGCCAAGGCGAATGCAAACGAGGCGGCGGTGAAACGCGCGTCTCCCCGCCCATTTCGGCGCGCCCCTCTGCGTCTCACTGCCACGCCCTATCGCCAATTGCCCATGGCCCTGTGCCCTTGTGGCATTCGCCCGCGTAGGCCCATAGCATAGACCAACACTATACATATGCCTAACCTGTGACCTACATCTTATACCATAGGCAATGCCCATGCCCTATAACCTATGACATATAACATATAACCTATAACCTGTACCTTGCCCATGACCAGGGACCTACGACCTATCACTCAAGCCCAAATCCCCTTTGGGCCCATGGCCCATGGGCCCGTAGCCACGAGGACCTCCGCAACACGCCCACTTGCCCAGTCGGCGTAATTACACATGGGCCATGCGGGCATGAGGCATGGAGCCTGCTCGTTGATCGTGTCTCATGTCCTCATGTCGGCACGCTACGATGTGCTCCACGTGCTGAAGTGAATGCAAAGATTGTGGTTACGTGCGGTGCGCCGGGCCCGTTCGTTGATTGAATTGTTGGTATTATTTGCTGTAACTGTTTCGCATCCTACTCGTTAGTTTCATTGATCGTATGTCGTATGTCGTATGTCGTATGTACGGATGTGATGTCTTTATTCGTTGAATTTATCATTCGTTAGTTATTCCTTGGTTGTAACGATTGTTTTGTGGGCGCTGCATTAGTTGTATGCGTTGCTGTATTGATCCTGCATTAGTTGTATTAGTTACTTGGCAGGCGCTGCATTCGTTGTATTAGTTGCTTGCAGTTGCGGCATAGGGCATAGGGTTGTTGCGGTTGTTTTGCGTTGTGCTCATTAGTTGCATTGGTTGTTTGTGATGTTTCATTCGTTGAATTAAACGTTCTGTAATTCTTCATTAGTTGTAATAATTGTTTTGTGCACGTTCCATTAATTGCATTCGTTGCTGTGCTGGTCCTGCATTAATGATTTAGTTGTTTGGCAGACCCTGCATTAGTTGCATTCGTTGCTGTGCTGGTCCTGCATTTATGGTATTAGTTGTTTGGCAGACCCTGCATTACTTGCACTCGTTGCTTTGATCGGTGTTTCATTTGTTGTATTACTTGTGCTGTAGTTGTATTACTTGTGTTGTATTATATGCTGGTGATGTGCTCCATTAGTTGCATTATTTGCTTTTGTTGTCGGTGGAACCAGTATAAGGTGCGTCTGGGCCACTCAGACTATCCCCCCCCCCTGTCCCCCCTTCCCCTGGGACTATCCCCCCCAGTCCCCTGGGCCTATCCCCCCCCCTGTCCCCGATCGTTGCCCCTGACCATCGCTGCCCCTGCGCTGCGAGAGCCCCCTGGGGGGCACGCCCCCGACACGGCGGATGCACGGACGGCGCCCAGGGCGCGGGGGGCTCCCTCTCGCGGCCGTCGGGCGGCAGGAGGCCGAGGGCCCCCGGGCACGCGGGGACGGCGGCCCACGGGGACGTCGCCGAGACCCCCCGCTCCCCCGCCAGAGACCCACAGGCAGCGTAGCCTGCGTGCTGCCATAAGGTCAAAGCTGGCAGCAAGGATGCGCTGTGAGGCTGCGAGCGCCTCGGACGCCCATGTCGGAGCTTTTCGAGCGGGGCTGGCCTTCGAAAGGGGGTGAGGAGGGACTGAGGGGGCAAGGTTGCCAGGGTACCCTTGGGAAGGTTACTATCGGGGTCGACTGCACCCAGACACGCAAGCGTCGCAGAAAAAGCTACGGCGAGAAAGTTTTGACCCTGTCCGGCCTCTGGGGGCCCTCGCCAGGCTCCGGGACTGTCAAGAAACGATTCGCCGGCCATGGGGAAAAGGGTCGGGAATTCCAGGGAGCCCGTGCTGAAAAAGTGCAGACACCACATGTCTGGGCACAGTCGGGCTGCTGAAAATAATGAACGCGAACAAAAAGAAAAGGAAGCCCCTTCTTTTGGCCCGAAAAGCGCCTGCGTGCTCGAGAAGGCTTCTCGTGCCTTCGGCCCCATTCGGCGGTGGACAAACCTCCCATTAGTAAGCCTCCCTTTAAGGAAAACGGCCTAGGACCGAAACCGACGGACCTGGACCCGCAAAAAGTGACGGCCGCGACTCCCTCTCGCGAACGAAAACGGCCAATTCGCTAATCGACGTGTCAGGGTAGGAGGTATATCAACCTCCGACCAAGAAGGCTCGACCCATTTCCGGGCGCCGGCTTTTCATCCTGAGCCGTTTCTTCGGACGGGGCCCCCAAAGGCCGAACACAGCGAAACGCCCCCCCGGACGCGCTGCTTCTCACGACGCGAGGGGGGTCCGAGTGTCGGGGTGCCCCCCCCCTGTGGAACCGACGACATCCCCGCCTGCGATGTCCCCGCCTGCGGGGGGCCCCCGGGAGGCCGAACAGGTAGCCGTCCGGGCCCCGCACGAAGACCGCCCCGTCTCGCCGCTCTGGCGGGTCGCCCCCCAGCGCCCCGTGGGCCCGCAGCGCGTCCTCCAGCGGGAGGGGTGGCCGCAGGAAGATGGCCTCCAGCGCCTCCCCTGCCAGGGAAACAGAAAAGAGAGCCGCCCGACCCTGAAATCCTGGCGACTAGATTTTCTCAAGCCAGGCGTTTTCGCCCAGTTTCGGGCCCCACATGGTGATCCGGCGTGTAAAACGCAGCAAAAAGATACGGTTCAGCCCGCAGGTCGTGATTTCTTACGATGTCTCAATGTTCTGACGTCGTCGGATCTCCAGGGGAGAACCGAACCAAATTTTGGTGTCCGTTCCGTGGGAGCCCCAAGCCAAATGTTGTTGTCCGTTCCGTGGGGGCCTCCGCTGCCCCCAGACCTGTCCGATTTGGGCCGGGCTTGGACCAGATGTGACAGGGTCGGAGTTCAACCGGACGTCGACCTGCTTCACCCCGTCACACGGGCGGCGCGAAGGGAGCGAGGAACGGGCGGAGGAACAGGAAGGGCAAGGCGGAGCAGGACCGGCGGTCCAATTGATGTGGTCCACACGCAAAAGAAACGGATTTTGGACGCCCGAGATGGGTACGGAAAAAATGGGTACAATGCCCAACAGCAAATGTTGTCCCAAACCAACAGCGGCCGCTGTTGGGCAGGCGGCCTTCTGTCTCAAATGGACACAGGCCGCGGCGGCGCGGACAGCGAGTCCTGTTCTGAATGAACAGGATCTGCCGTTGGGCATTGTACCCATTCTTTCCGTGCCCATTTCGTTCGTTGCAGGGCTCGCCGTACCCATCCTTTCCGTACCCATTTCCTACCTATTCTTTCCGTACCCACTCTTTCCGTACCCATTTCCGGATTCCAGTGTCGCCGCCCAGGGCTCCCACAAACACTCATCGAACCAACTCGCCCGAGCACCCGCTTCCTCGGAGGCCCGCGCGCAGATCTTTCTCCAGCCAGCGCTGGAGCCCCCCCTCCCATCATCCCTACAGCGTTAAGTTGGGCGTGTACCCCTTACAGGCGGATTTTCAGCGATTTTTTGACTATAGCGGTGCCTCCGGCGCCGCCCCTGGCGCGCTCCTCGCGAGAGGGGGCGGGGTGCAGGGAGAGGGTCTTCAGCGCGCCAGCCCACGAAACCCGAGCGGACCCCCGAGATGGTATGCCCATGCCGTCCGTTTCGGTCCTCTGCCTGGGGCGTAGGACGTGACGCCGTAGTTGTAGGTCAGCTCCAGGGCGTAGGAGACGTCCTCAGTGCCGTAGCCCACCATAGTCTTCGACCAGGCGGTCTGGTAGCGGCCGTTGCAAGTGATGGGGCACGCCTCTGGATTCTCCTCGTGCCGCAGGACGCGCATTCCGAACACCTGCCTGTAGAAATCCAGCGACCGCCTCTGAGGGCGGGACGGCACGCACGAGGTCAGGAGCTGCTGAAGGTGTTCCTGGCCCGAGGGGACCCCAGCTTTTCGCTGCACGTCGGAGCCCGCCCTCGGGAGGGGCGCTCTGGAAGCCGCGGGACGCCTCCTTGGACCTCCTAGGGGCAGACACCTCGGGCCAGGGACTCCATGGCGGGTTGGGGGCGAGGTGCGCGGCCGCCAAACACGTCACAGACAAGGGGGCCTCTCACAGAATCCCTCCCGCCCTCTGAACGAGGCCTCCACACAGGGAGCCTCCGGTCGCTCCGAGGAGGCCATCTGCCCTCTCACAGGGCCGCCCGGCCCCCCTCGCCCTGTTCCCCTCGGCGCACCGCCAGGACTCGGCGGCCAGGCGCAGCAGGAAGCCTCGGACCGGCTAGGCGGCTCGATCGGGGCCTGGCGCGAGGGCCCCCCTCCGGGTGCGGGCCCGAGAGGCGGTGCGCGGATGCGACGTTTGCGCTGCATGCGCCTCCGTTGCGCAGGCCTGCCTTCCTCCCGGGGAGGCAAACAGAGGCCGGTGCCGCTGCTCCCCGGACCTTGCCAGGACTGCAGCCCGACCAAGGTTTCGAGGAGCCTCCCGCCGTGGCGGCGCGGGCTCTCCAGCACGAGCAGCGGCATCGGCATGTTCCCCACCCATGACTCTCATAAGCCTGGAGGCGACCAGGGGGTCTGAACTGGCTGGGGCCCCAGAAAATCTGCCAGTGGGACAAATCCACTGCTCCCAGGGTCCATCTGATGCAGAGTTTCACCCCAAAGCTGTTTTTGAGCCCCCGGGCCCGAAAACACCCCCAGGAGGCAGAAAAAGGCAAACCAAAACGTCCTGAACTCACGCCTCGAACATGCCCATCATTCCTGCCGGCCAAAACCAATGCTGGGCCACCTCAGACCCCCAGGCGGCTCCAGAAGCGTCTGGGTGTGCGAGAAGGGCTAGAGGAACGACCATGAAAGGACCCAAGGAACAGCGAGCCCCTTCTAGCCTCAGGTCGGCTGTCCGCAGGACCCAGTGCGCGTGGCGCCCACGCACACGACGGCCATCCGCCGCCCCCTGCCCCTCCCACGCAGCGGCGCGCTGCAGAGGCACCGGCAGCGACAGGCACGCGAGGAGGGCCAGTGGCCGAGGCAGCACCATCGCGCGAGGGGCGCCACTGCTCGAGCTGCCCCAGCCATGATCAAAGAACAGCACACGCTCAAAGCTACGGGGAGGACAAATGGGGAAGAACAAGGCGGTGCAGGCGCTACAGGTATGGGTGCGAGCTGTCGGGCCCCGAGGGGGCCCCCGTTGGAGCGGGGACTCCCGTCCGACAACACATGCCCAGAACCCGCCCCCCCCCCCACCGGAGTTCTACCCTGGGAACTCTGAGGGTCGTTTGCCGCATGGGTGTCAATGGTCAGCTCGTGAAGCCGAATCGCTGAGCCTAGCCAGAGGGGGGGGGGGGGGGGGCTTAAACGGAGGGCGAGGAGGGGAGGAGGGGCGGCCGATCGAGGAGGCGGCGGCGGCGGAGCCTCGACGCAGCAGCGCGATCGACAAGCCGCGGCCGTCCATGGGCGAGCCCTCTCGTGGGCAGTGGGCCCCTCCGGAGAAAGAAAGCAAAGACAGCAGGAAGGAGGAGGAGGAGGGGGAGGAGGAGGAGGAGGAGGAGGAGGAGGAGGAGGAGAGGAGGAGGGAGGCGGAGAGGGGAGGAGGATGAGGAGGAGGAGGAGAGAAGGGGAGGAGGAGGAGATGCGGAGGAGGAGGAGGAGGAGGAGGAGGGGAGGAGGAGGAGGAGGAGAGGCAGAGGAGAGGAAGGGGAAGGAGGAGGCGGATGATGAGGAGAGGGAGGCGGGGGAGGAGGAGGGAGGAGGAGGAGGAGGAGGAGGAGGTAGGAGGAGGGTGGAGGAGGAGGAGGGAGGAGGGGGGGGAGGAGGAGGGGAGGAGGCGGTGGAGGAGAGGAGGAGGAGGAGGATGAGGAGGAGGAGGAGGAGGAGGAGGAGGAGGGGAGAAGGGGAGGAGGAGGAGGAGGAGGAGGAGGAGGCGGAGGAGGAGGAGGAGGAGGAGGAGGAGGAGGAGCAGAGAGAGGAGGAGGAGGAGGGAGGAGGATGAGGAGGAGGAGGAGGAGGAGGAGGGAGGAGAGGGGGGGGAGGAGGAGGAGGAGGAGGAGGAGGAGGAGGAGGAGGAGGAGGGAGGAGGAGGAGGAGAGGAGGAGGAGGAGGAGGAGGAGGAGGCGAGTCTGTCGAAGCCTCGTAAAAATCCGCGCGACCCTCACCAGGGGGTGGTATGAGAGGGCGGAAGCACCATATATACCTCTGGTAGTCCACATAGAGCACCTCGACCGGCCACGGCCGCGCGCCCCGGCAGCGCGCTGCGGCTGAAGGTCGCCTGGCCGCGGCGCGCGGCAGCCAGCCGCCGGCCGCCGCCCGAGCCGCCGCTCGCCCCATCCAGCGTCTCCAGTGGCCCCCGTGGGCCGACACGGGCTGCTGGGGTCGCCGCCAGCTCCGCGTCGGCCCCAAGCGGCTGTCGGCGCCGCCCTGCGCTAGCCCCGCCGCGCCAGCGCGTCAGTCAGCTCGGCGGGCTCGCTAAGCGGTGTCGAGCCGCGCTGCTGCCACCGCCGCGGCGGCTCCGCCCGCTAGCCGGCGGCGCGCCGCCTAGCGCAAGCCGGCCGCCTTCCGGAGCTGGCGCGCTGTTGCCGCCTGCAAGCCGCAGGACAAGACCTTGTAGGCCCGCGCCAGCTCGCGTTGCTGCTCGTCTTCGGGCAAGCGCCGCACCTGCCCTAGCAGCCAGAGGCGGCCCTCGGCGCCGAGCCGCCCCCCCGCCTCGAGGACGAAGGGCGTCAGCCGGTCGCCGGGGTAGCGGGCGTGCTTCTCCCGCTCGCCGCGCCTGCTGGCCTCGCCGCCCCGGCGCGCGGCCAGGCGCAGCTCGGCCTGCGTGCCGGCTGCAGGGTGGCGGACGGAGACGTCGAGCCAGTGGGTGCCGTCGTCGTCCTGGTACTGCAGGTCCAGGATCGCGCGCTCGAGTCTGCCGTCGGGGCGCTGGCGGTCCCAAGTCGGCACTCTCTGCTCAACGGGGGGCCGCTCGCCGCGCCAGCGGTGGAGGAGACCCCCGACCCTCTGGTTGAGGCCCCCGTGTCGCGCCACCACGCCCCCGCCCACCTGGCAGGTCAGGGCATGGTAACCGCCGTCGTCTAGTGCCCCGTGGCAGCCAGCGCCGTCGGCAGCGCGCAGGCAGCAGGCGGCCAGCGCGGTCGCTAGCTCCCGCTGGCTGAGCTCGGCGCGCGGAAGCTGCAGCCGCCGCCGCGTCCCTGCCTGCCAGAGCACGTTTTCGAGGGAGCAGAGGTCGTCCTCCGGGTAGGCAAGAAAGGCCGCGCTGCCGCTTCCGGCTGCGCCCCGCAGCTCGACCTGCCGGGGAGGGGGCAAGCGTCGCAGCAGAGCTGCGCGCTGGGTCCTTTGCACCTTCTCCGTGGCCAAGCCTTGCTTCAGGGGCGTCTGCAGCGCAGTCGCCAAGTCGCCCCCCGGCGCGAGCTCGAGCCCCTGGCCCTGCAGTCCGCGCCGCGCCGTTTCCAGCTGCTGGGCCGCCCGTGGCAGCCGCTCCAGGCAGTCAGCCAGCGTCGCGTTGCCCTGGTCCTCTGCGACCTCCTGCGCCGCGGCTGACCAGGAGGCGAAAAAGGCCGCGTGGCGCCGCGTGCCCGCCAGCTGCGCGCCGAGGCCTCCGAACCTGGCCGGGAGGTCCAGGAGCTCCACGGCCGCCTCGTCGAGGTCCCGTTCCAGGAGGTCCCTCCAGCAGCCCGTCAGCAGATCGTCGTACTGCTGCGTCGCGGAGTCCTGGGCGAGCTCCATCCGCAAGGAGTGCTGGCTCGCCGGGCCCGCGTAAGCGCGCAGGAGGGCTGCCGCTGCCTGCTTCTTGAGTCCGGCCTTTTGCAGCTTCTTCAGCTCCCCCCAAAGCGTCTCTAGCTTCCGCCCAGCCTCGGACAAGCTGTTCGCCGGCAACCCTAGGGCGGCGGGCGCGCTGCTCTCGGCGTCTCCCGGAGGCCGCAGGTGCTTGCCGAGCACAGGCAGGCTCGGCACCCAGCTCGCCTGCAGGAGGAGGAGGAGGAGGAGGAGGAGGAGGAGGAGGAGGCGGCCGGGCAGCGGGAGCAGTGGGAGCGGCGAGAACTGGGGGGCAGAGCCGCCGCCACCTCAGGCCGCAAGAGGGTTCGGCCGCCCACGGCCGCTCGGGGCTGCCTCCGCAGGAGGGGCGCCCTCGCCAGCGCGGCGTCGCTGCCCACGGCGTCGAGGCGGGCAGAGGCCAGTGTAAAGCGAGCCGACACAGAGCAGGGCGGCGCGGGACGAGAAGGGTCGAAGCTGCACGGGCGTGAAGCGGATAAGCATGTAGAGGGACCGAGGCGGCATTCAAGGGGCGTGCCATGCAACATGACCCAACACAACACGGTGCTCGAGTAATTGGCAGCCTGCTACCCGGCACGACGAAACAGCAGCACGAGAGTACTTGACCTCGTGCATGACTCAATGCGCCGGGACATGCTGTGATCTGAGACGGGTTGGCAGGAGCCAATACCCTGCACTCACAATCACAAGTGCTCATCGGATTTGGACTGCGATGAGATGCAGTCCGAAACACGAGGTGCAATCTGAGGCCGTCAAAATTGAGACATGGATGAACGTCTGTGTTCGACGTCTGAGGTGATGCCGCTGGCGGTAGAAAGCAATATGCGCCCACACGCGAACGACACTGTGCGAAACTGCGGTTCACATCTGACCGCTCGAAGAATTGCGAGGCTCGAGGCTGGCTGGCCTCCCCCATCTGCGAGCGCAGTGGCTTCCTAGCTCTGACGCCACCTCTGCTGCCTGAGCGCAACGTCGAGGCCATACGGCAAACGGCCAGATCGGCACTCAAATCGAACAACAGACGGTGGCAGAGCAATATTATGCATACAAATCCCTTGGCTGCCCATAGATCGAATACCAAACTGGACAAGACGGCGCGCTTGACCAGTTCCGGAAACCCTGCACCAAGAAATGTTGGCCAGCGTGGACCCCAAACAGTGTTTCTAGCTATAGATGTTGCGCAATCTAGGTGTTGCACTCTATGTGGTGCAATCTATGTGGTGCACAATCTCTGCTGTGCAATCCACTCTGCTGAACTTGAAGTCGTCATCTCCACTGCTCGCGCAAACATCCCACCCACCCAACCGCAACTTGGTTTGCAAAACCTGTTAAGACCGACTGCGACGACACCGACGACAACGACTAGGACGACACCGAGGACGTCTCCGACGACTTCGACGACGACAACGACGCCGACGCCGACGCCGACGCCGACGCCGACGACGACGACGCCAACGAAGGCGACGACGAGGGAGGAGGAAGGACGACGACGGCGACAACGACGATAACAACGACAACGACGAGGGAGGAGGGAGGACGGCGATGACGCGAACGACGACGAAGGAGGAAGGACGGCGACGCCGACGACGACAACGACGAGGGAGGAGGGAAGACGACGACGACGACAACGACGACGACGACGACGGCGACGAAATAGGAGGGACGACGACGAGACGCCGACGACGGACGACGACGACGACGACGACGGGGAGGAGGAGGAAGGACGACCACGGCGACAACGACGACGGAAACGACCACGACGCCAAAGAGGACGACGACGACGAACACGAGAAAAGACAGAGGACGACGTAGGCGACGACGACGACGCGGGAGGAGGGAGGACGGCGAGGACGACGACGACGACGACGACGCAAGAACGCGCGCACGCTTTTGTTGAAAATCCGTGTTGCGAAACCTTGGGTTGTTGTAGGTTTTTTGGACGCATGATTTTGAAATACTTCCGAAACCGATGGGTTTTGAAGGTCTTCGGCATACGCCCGCGACGACGCGCGCGTCTGCACTTCGTCCCATTGTTTGCAGAGGATTCTCGCGACGGCACACGCGCAAGGGCGTTCGACAGATTTCGACATGCGCGCGCGCGAAGCCCGTTTGGTAGCATTTTGTGAAAATCTTGAACAGCCTATGGTTTTCTTAAGATTGCGCAAGAGCTCGCGCGGAAGCTTTTTTCGCAAGTCAGTGTTGCGAAACCATGTGTTTTTGTATGTTTGTTTTAGAAACGCGATTGCGAAATCCTTCCGGCACCGAAGGTTTTTGAAGGATTTCGGCATGCGCGCGCGACGACGCGCACGTGTGCACTTCGTCTCATTTGTTGCAAGGGGTTCGCGAAAAAGTGTTATGTCAGAACAACAAATGTAACCGCATAGTGTTTTTTGCAAGGGAACCTCAGGGGGGGGAAACCAGCCTAGCTGGGATGGTATGATTTCATATTTAGGATGGACGAGTGTGCAGAATATGTATATATATGAAATCATACTATCCCAGGGGGAACCGATAAGTCGGGGGGGGGGGGGGTAGAGTCTATTCTTTGTTTAGAAAGGATGATATATGTGGGGCAATGTATGCTGTGCTGTAGCTGTTGCGCAATCTACGCAATGCAATACATGTGCTGCAACCGATGTGGTGCAACATATGTGGCGCAACATGTAGCAACATAGGTGGCGCAATATATGTCGTGCGATCTATATGGTGCAGGCAATGTGGTGCAATAGATGAGGTGCAATCCGTGGTGTGAAAACAATGCGGTGCGAAATCGATGGTGCACAATCTATGTGGTGCATCCCGTGTTGCGGCGAAAGGGCGGCGACGGCGGCAACAAGGCGGTGGACCCGACAGACAAGACCAGACGACGAGCGGCGACGAGGCGGCTGCGGCAGCAAAAAGGCGGACCCGACAAACGAACCTACTTCCTTCAAACCAGACTAGAAACCCTACGAGCAAACAATGTTTAGGGAACGTTGCCGGCCTTCCCAAGAGGAAGCGATGTCAATTCCTTCGATCCTCGAAGGCCAGGCCTTTTCGGGAGCGCGGCATGTGGCTCCGCAGGGAGCACCACGAGCGAGGGCGAGAGGGAGCACAAGTTCGAACACGCTCGTCCTCGTCGTCCAGGAGCAGGTTGAGCTGTGGTGCTGCGACGGAGGCTGCCTCTCAGGGCGCGCTGGAGAAAGGCGACGAGGAGAGGGGGCAAGAGGAGGACAAGCAGCAGCAGCAGCAGCAAGATGCATTGTCCCATGTCTCACGCGCTCTCTCTCAGACTCTCTCTCTCTCTCTCTCTCTCCCTCACACTCTCTCTCTCTATCTCTCTCCCCCCTCCTGCTCCTCCTCATTCTCCTGCTCCTCCTCCTCCTTGTCCCCCTTATGTCCTAGCAATGCATGGCTATGTATCCGTCTCTCCCTCTCTGTCTCCTTCTGCCTGTCTGTCTCTCAGCATGTCTGTTTGTCTGTCCGTCGCTGGTAAAAGTGCCTCGTATTAGAGC